TCTCTAATTTTAGGATAATTAAAAAGTCAATCCACAAAACACTGTAAAAACTACTAAGATTTGTTTGTGGGCGGTCATTATGAACACTAATTCCACTTTCCATATCAATATTGATTAATAACATGTATCAAACGGAGCACGATTAGAATAGATGTAGGCTCTTTTGTAAGTTAAAACAACTGAATGATATGAGAGGATTTTCTGATCACAATAAGATTTAAATGCAAAAATTATGATTTCCGGCATCTAATTGAAACCATCTATATCACATAAAATCTCAACCAATCAGATTACAGGAATGAATGATTTACAGCCAATTAAACAATTCAAACAGGCAACAAATATGTACTGTTGATATTACATGAGCATACGTTTTGGAATACAGATTGACCAATCACTTACTTTTAAATTGGTATAATCATTTCCTGAAAATTTTATCAATAGGAATCAGGTATTTCAATTTTTGCATGACAGAATGTTATATTTCCTTACTAGAATACAGGGAGTTTGTACCATTTCGTTTTTTTCTTCCTGGAATATCCAAATTACTTTTACACACGACTCATTCCTGTGTGTTAGCTACCAAGTAGTATGGTGATTGCGTTTATTGGTTCACACAATAGAATAAATACATCATTATTAAAACCCGTTCTGAACGGATAAATATCAACATTTATTCACAAATAGTACAGAAGAACAGTACATTTGTAGTGAAGGAGAACACAGGTGAGGGCAACCGAATTGCATTTACCTCAAATTACAGAGTTAATTGGTAAAATAGAAAAAAAATCGTTCATTTGCAAAATATCAATCCATCATATCGAATTGGACTGTTCCTGTTGCAAACATCAATCTATTGTCTGACATTTCACTGTTCATGCGTTTCATACAAATCCCATTGTGTTCCCACTCTTCCTTTCTTGATCTTCCCCCATCTTCTGCTGCAAGACATTACGTTATTATTCGCGTCATATACTACTTATAAGTAGCGCGCACCACACATTGACTGCTCGTATAACAGGAAAAATAAACCAATCAAACTATCAATGTTTACTGGGGTGAAATTCCAATAAATTTCATTAGGGATTCGTCACTAAAAAAGTAGCCAAACTTCAATATATATTAAAGAGACCCATTCATGGCTTGCTAACTGTTATAGATCCACACTGGAATTGTTCATCTTGAAATTTACAACAGAAAATCATTAATAAGTGTATACCTTATTTTTTCATAATCATTTGCAATCACAAAGTTTTTAAACATTTCCGATTAGTAGCCATAATCTTTGTCTACAAACTCGCCTAAACACCCATAAATTAGCCTTATTTATAAAGCGTCACTCGTCTTAAGTTTGCTGTTTTCTTACTTATAATGTTTAGAATATCTCAGTTCATACAAATCGATTTCTTGGTACTTATCTAGACTGGTAGTAAGCACAATATAACCATAATCCTAACTTAATAATGTATAAATAAATAGAGCGCAACACGCTCTTGATCTCAAGTTTCATTTAAAATTTATGTTTTCAATCGAATATAATTCCTCGTATCTAATTTATTTTAATTTATAATATTAGTCTAACTATTCCTTAAGTCATCTACTAATAAAGGGATCAATAAATGATTTCATAGTACCCTAGCGCTTTGGTCAAGAGGTGGGACGATGATCAGATGATTTTCTTTCATACGATTACATTTTGATCAAACCAAAAGAGAAAAATTTTGATTGCGACTTTTACCACTCACTGACAGGTGTCCTGTGGAGTATAATTAAAAACCAGGAAGCAGTTGACGGCTGTTTTTTACTTTCCTCGCGAATCCTCAGAGATTTACACCAACATCACATTGAACAAGGGTCACTTAGTTCACGTAATGAGCACGATACATTCAAACTATTGAGTTCGGATACAGTAGTTTAGGTTTCATAACAATTGATTTGAGATAAACCAGCTTTCATTCAATATAACCATCAAGTTAATATCTCGCTGCTAATTTGGGTGACCTTGTCGCGTTTCCTACGAGAAGTTTAGGATGCTCACCTCACTTGTCGATTAAGCACTTCGTATAAATTCAAACAACCGATGGCATAGACCTAATAGTTTCTATAACTTTAGTAACTGGTTAACAGTACATCTAAATATCAGTTATGTTGTGCATGTACAGTAGAATACTGTTTTAAAAACCACGTAGTATCAGATTAATTCGAAACATTGTAAACTAATGACAAGATGGAAGAAAAAGACTACTTTCCACTCACTGAGACATGTAGTAAGCAAAGTAGTATTGTGAAAGACGACGAGATTGCATACCGTCTACATTATTTACTAAGAGGGATCAGTCAGTTACTATCAGCTAGTCATATTAGAGATTTTGGGAAAGACAACGTCGATAAAGTTTTAGGGAAAATTAGACCTTGGGTCAAGTCACCCAACTTCTCCAACTACCGATTGTGACGTTCCTAATCAGATAGTCTGTATTTGCCAACACAACTCATCCCAACAGTTAACGACTCCATGGATTGACTGGACTTCTTGAAAAACATGAAGGGCTGCCTTAAAAATGCAGATAGCAACGAAGAGTAATGGAGCAAATCGTAAGGAGAGCCAGTAATACTGTCAGGTTTTATGGGGTTGTTAGCTTGATTTATCTTAGCGTCCACTTTCTCCGTGAAGTGAGAACAAACCCTGTCCCGAAAATTTGGTAATTCTACCCCATCATATGATCACTAATAACTGTGACAGAATGAAGTCACACATTGATTTTTCCAGACACCTTTGAAAATCATGAAGCGGATTGCTTGCTAAGCTGTATGATCGTATTCCCAATATAACTCTTTCCACAGAGCAACTGTAATGGTAAGTATACATAAATGTGGTGAAACTAAATAACTTATCCTTTAGTTGCGCAGACACTCCTGATCAACTAGAAAACAATAAACTGAAACTAATTGAATTAAGTTATTTTCATTGGTTCGGCTATTCATTCAGTCATGTAGCATACGCTTGTTCTATCTCCGTCGAAATAGATCTTCATGAGGTGAGCTTTGCAAATAGTTCAAATCTTTACTATCCCGTTCACTTTATAGACCTACTTCTATAGGAATTCCGATATTAGCTCATTTCAGTCAATATAAATTATATGAACTTTAGTTTCTTGTTCGTAGTATCATCTGAGCATATATTTCTAGCTATTCGTGTAAGTTACTTGATTGTTGCTTTTGTAAATGAATAGATACGAAACAGATGAACTTTTTCTATGCACACGTATACTAACAAACCGACCTTCTTTTCTGCTTCAAAAAGATCGAAAAAATGTAACTTACTGTCTAGTTTCGTTCCACAAGTGATGAGCGTACGTTGTTAATTTTCCCTAGGAGTTCTTATCTGGCTATCGAGAATTCTAATAGTGATTTGAGTTTTTGATGGCTGATTGTATAAAAAGCTAATCATCTCAATCACTAGTACATTGGTGAACAAAGAAGCAACATCTAAAGACATATGTTTCGTCTTGAAATGCATATATTACAACTTGAAAATATAATCGAAATCTTCTTTGACTATCGAATTCCAAACTTGGAAAACATGTACTCTACTTAGTCTCTGAGGGTTTTTTTTAGTTATTATCGCTTCTTGATAAAAGCTACTTTCAAAATGTCTACCTCTCTCCATTCTTGTTTAACTTTGTCGTAGACATCCTCTTAGAGTTAACATTAAGCTCGTCAGATTTTTCAGGGGTTGACCTACCAGGAAAATCGCTTTCTGACTTAGAATATGCCGATGACATCGTTCTATTTGGTAAAGACGATGACAAAATGCAGTCTTTTGATCACCTTAAGCAACAATGCAAGCATGTTCGGGATGCGTTTTCCCCCTCGAAATGCAAAATGTTGTTTCAAGTTTGGGTTGCATCGGTACCTGCACTAGTGATAGGCAGTGAAGTAATCGAGCGTGTTGATAACTTCACTTATCTGGTGAGTCTCATCAGTGCTGATAGCCTGATGACTGACGAAATCTCAGCTCGGATACAGAAAGCTCGATTTGCTTTTGCCAATTTACGCCGTTTATAACGTACGCAAGATATCCTTTCGCTAACCAAAGGACGAGTGTACTGCGCAGCAGTTCGCTCCGTTCTCTTATATGGATGCGAAACATGGCCGTTAAGAGTAGAAGATGTTCGTAGGTAACTAGTCTTCGATCATAGATGTCTTAGAAGCATTGCTCGTATATCGTGGGACAACCGAGTAAGCAATGCTATCGTTAGGAAACGAGTTCTAGGTAAGGATGGCAAATCAGTAGATGAAGTATTGAAACTTCATCAGGTGAGGTGGTTGGAACATGTGTTACGTATGCCTAACCACCGACTGCCTCGACGAGCTATGTTTTGTGGTGTAGGAGTAGGTTGGAGGAAAGCTAGGGGCGGCCAGACCAAAACATGGCAGAAATCCATGAAGTCACCGACAAATGGACTAAGTCATGTTGGTAGATGTAGGCTACCTGGTTGGGGTCCGCGAGACAACAGTCACCAATGGTTAGAGACCTTGAACGACACGGCTCAGAATCGTTTGCAATAACGGAGGTGCATCCACTCTTTGTGTTCTATCAAATCCTAATCTTCTGGGATCGTCAGCACCTCTACCTTTGTCTTTCTAACCTTATCTCACTGAATTATACTTCTTGAATAATATCTTCAAACCCTAGTCTTGTTCATTACCATTAATACCCCTACTATCTTTATCACTATGGGATTCGATTTCACATTTGCATCTCTGTGCTAATGTGGTATGGCAACCTGAACTTATGTACATACGTACGAAGTTCTACGTTGCAACTGACTGACTCAAAACGTCTACTATTCTGAGTACTGTCAACTAATTGGCAAGAAAGTAACATGTGAGTACATGGTTGTAATATAGCTTTGTAACATAATTATTATGTGGCTTTAGAAAACAAATAAGATGTTTTTTTTCAAAATAGTGTTTAATGCTCTATAAATTTTGAAAAAAAAACAAAAACAAAGATAAACAAATTCGAAGGATTGAAATAAATTATGAACTAGAGAAAAGCTTTTATTTTTTTGTTTTGTTTTTCACAAAAAAGCAACAAAAGGGATAGGTCAATAGGACTATTATTGATTTAATCAGGAGGCTTGAAATAATATTTACATGAATTATTTATAAAACCATTAGTTATCCTTTCATTAATACAATTTTGAGGTGTGAAATGATTTGATTCTTTTGTCACATAATTTGCAGATATTTCTGACGATTCATTTTTACCTGTGTTGACATTTAAAAATCCCATTGAATAAGGACTATATGAATTTGAAGTTGGTGTACTTAATGAGCAGCTATTCAATACATTAGCTGAAGTTGTTGTAACATAAGGAACTGAATTTAACTGTGGAACTAGAAGTAATTGATTTGCAGTCATTTGTGCAGTTAACAAAAGATTTGAAGATAATGGAGTTAACGTGAGGACATTTTGTGATGGAGAAGGAAATACACTCACTGGAACATAAACCATATTTTTATACTCAGTTGAATTGGAAACATTAGTTGTTTGAGATATATTATTACAAAATGTTTCATTACTTAACGATGCTACAGAATGAACATTGTGACTAGAATCAATGATTGTACTTGGTACAGTATTAAAACACTGCTTTAATTCATCAATATGATTTGAATTGAACAATGATTTAGGCACTGAGTCATTGTGTAACAACGTTGTGTCTACTTTACTCTCATCATCGGATATATTTTTTAAATCATTTATGGAGTTTTGATTATTGAATGTATCAGTGTTCACAGCAACTGTACTATCTTCTTTCTTACAACTTTTTCGACTATGATTGACATTTTGATGATTTGTTTTCACATTGTTGTTGTTCACTTCTGATTGATCAATTTTCATTGATACATTATTATTTGAATTGATAGATGAACTTGAACTTAAACAAGTTTGTATTAATCTTTTACCACATTCTAATTCAATAATACCTTTTAATCGTTGTGTTGCAAATGTATAAACATGATTTGTTTCTGAAGCGACAAGTAATAATACTTCTGCACCGGTTAATTCAGCTAATTCTACAGCTTTTTTCATTAGGCCAGTTTTACGTTTTGAAAAAGTTGAATATCTTTTAGTACGATCAACAATAAATTCAATTGGTATTTTTTGTTTACCTTTAGTTAGTTTTTCAGAAGAATAACGTTCATCGGTAAAAGATTGTTGATCATTAGTGGTAGTGGTGGTGGTAACATTAACATTATCGGTGTATAGCCGGCGTTTACTACCAGGTGGATGAATAATATCAGTAAATGATGTATTGTTATTAATCTCAGCAATATTAATCATTTGAATGTGATTATTATTGCCTAATTGTGAATCTAATTCATTGTCACTATTAAAATGATTACTGTTATCTCCACTGTTTGATAAGTCTTCTGGACATTCAGTGACAAATTTATATACATTAGGTGATGATGATGATGAGTCGGTGAAATTTATTCCACTATTTATTGAATGAACAACACTTTCCATAGTTCCCATACTTTTTTTACCTGGTTAAAAGTGAAAAAGAAATTAGTTAGATATTTATTCAGAACAAAATTCATACTATATGTTACATTGTTAAATGGTGGAAAATTTGTAAAACGTGATCGATTGTTTGTTAAATGGAGGTCTAGATCGGTTGAAAAGTAACATTGTAGTGAACGAAAATACAGGTGGGGCAACCGAATTTTATTTAACGAAAATTACAGAGTTACTCAGTAAAATCGGAAAACCATACCGTAAATCGTTAATTTGCAAAATATTAGTTCATCATATCGAATTGGACTGTTCCTGTTGCAAAACATCAATCCATTGTCACTATTCATGCGTTTCATACAAATTCCATTGTGTTTTAACTCTTCCTTTCTTGATCTTCCCCCATCTTCTGCTGCCAGACATTACGTTGGCACTCACGTCATATACTACTTATAAGTAGCTCGCACCACAACATGAGATCTGTTAAATGGACAGATACGACTAAGTAAAACCTTATGTAGATCAGACTAGTTCTCTGGTGACCAAATTGTCTATGTGTAGGTTAAGCATTCAAAGCTTTGATATTATTTTGTTCCTAATTCTGACATACACTGTTCTTATCAAAACGTTTTAATAACTTCTCAATAGATTTTGTTTGTACGAAAAGTTACAAGAGCTTTGAGATTCTTGCAAAGGATATTGAGAAATCCCGACATTGTTATAGGATTTAATTTGTCCTACATATGAACTTCTAGAACGGCAAACGCAATACTGGAGAGCACAGAGTCTATGGGAAAGATATAGTTATAACAAGATCAACTTTTGCTTTAAACTTGATCTGTTTCTGAACATAAAAACAATTAGATTAGTACAATAAATAAGGAAATTACAATTATCAAGTAAGACGAGCAAACGTACCGACCAATATAGCGTGTCTTATGGGAATGAGTAAAGTTATGAGTCACATCAATATAATAAGATAATAATGTCAATCAATTTGTAGGTCATTTACAACAAAGAAGGTTTACAGACACGTCAGATCAGATCACGTGATGGACGCTTAAACCACAATTTGATTGGTTAGTTATGACATAACTACAATTAGTTATGAAAATAACTGACATTGTTTTGTTCCAAATAATCTACAGGTGGACAAGCCAATGAGAGGTCGAACAATCGAAACTGTGTCTGCTAGTACGATGATAAAAACAAAGAGAACTTTTTAAAAGCCTGAATATCTAACACAAAACAGCTCACCATATATCTTTATATCACAGCATGGGTAAGAATTATACATACCCATTGGATACTTTAGAGCTCTATATACTTCGGTAGTATTCAAAACAAAATGTTTGGAACAGTATTCTGAAGTATACTCAAGTTTCTACTTGTGGCACTCCACGGTATACTAAATGAGGATCTAAAGTTCCATATTTTTATTAAATAGCTGCATAATGCAAAGATATAGTTCTTTACTTGACCTCAAGCGGTGTAGATGATAAATATGCATGATTTAAAATCTAAATATATGGGGATTTGATGGCCAATATCAGTATACATATAAAAGCGTAGTTACAATATAAAACTCGGAGAAAAACACTTTTCAACTCTGTAGAAGCTAGAAATCATTTAAATATTGTTCCAACAAACGGTGCTTCTAAAATTCGGAATGAATAGAATATAAACCATCACCTACTCAATCTCTACTTGTACTCTTATAGACTGCACACTGTGAAAAAAGAAATATCATACAAATATTTATACGTCTTGTGGTGGTGTTTCGTTCTCTGAGCTGGATATTTTGGTTGTGAAGCTTGTTCTTCTGAACAAGATCGTCAGCGCAAACTTCAGATGGAAGTAAAGTATTCGAATTTCTCCACATTTGACCTGTAGCTTGTTCTGCTAACCTCGATCCTGATTGGTTGCTGTTCACCTTAAACCTGTCGTTGTTTGCACCTTTATTTTGATTGTATACCCCTTTTGTTCTGTTTTTTGATCCTACATCGCCTATGATTTTTCTGATAGGTTGATAAATTGGGTCAATGTCGATGTGTTTGTTGATTGACCTGAGTGCCAAGTTTCTAAAACTTCTCTAATGTTCCTTGTGCTCTCCCTATCCAGTATTTCCACTTTGTTCTAATCGAATGTATTTCCATAATTGTCAGTACGTATTGATATAAGCGAAGAGTTGTCGTGGCGTTTGACTGCTGATTGTTGTTCACGTAAATGAAGCTGAAGAAGACGTTCAATTTGTCCTATGTAGTGTTTTTCACAGTCTGAGCAATTTATTTTGTAGATGATATTTGGTTTTTCTTCATTTGTCATTTTGTCCTGTGGTCTAAATAGGATTGATTGAAGTGATTCTGTTGTTTTGTGTGCCACACCTATTCCAAATGGTTTCAGTATTGGCGCTGTATGCTCCAATATGTCTTTTATGTATGGTAGGATGATCCGTTTATTGGTTCATGTACTTGATTTTGCTCCTGTTGACCATTTCAGTTGATGTTTTTTGATGAAGTTGCGTGGATAGCCGTTCTTTTTGGAGATAGTCACAAGATGTTTTCCCTCGTTTTTTTAGTGCTTTATATGTGCTGCAGTGTGCCTTCGCTCTCTTGAACAAAGTTTGTATGCAGTTTATTTTGTGGGTTCTTGGGTTGTTGCTACCGTAGTTGAAAATAACGTCTGTGTGGGTTGGCTTCCAAAATACTTGAGTTCCTAGTTTTCCTGTGTTGGTTCTGGTGATTAGTACATCCAGGAATGATAGACTGTTGTTTGATCGCTTTTCCATCGTGAATTTAATGTCATCGAAGACATTGTTAATCCGATTGTAGATATTCTCCAGCTTGTTTCTTTTGATAATGACGAATGTGTCGTCTACATAGCGAACCCACACTTTTGGTTTGATGACTGGTAAAACTGACTCTTCTAGTCTCTGCATTACAGTAGAAGTATTAGCAGTAATGGAGAAGATTAGGGAGCGAAGAAATGATTCAAGAAGTATAATTCAGTGAGATAAATTTAGAAGGAGAAAGAGATTATGAGGAATTCAGAAGGTTATAATTAGAGAGAACGCAAAGAGTGAATGCACCTGCGTCATTGCAAACGATTCTGAGCCATGTCGATCAAGGTCTCTAACAATTGGTGACTGGATTCAGACGAAGCGAGTTCACGAAACGTCGTTCCTGGTCTCGTTAAACCCCGTTCTAGACTACATGTTGGAGCTTTTAATGTACGGACATTGTGTCAAATAGGGCAACAGGCATCATTAGCTAGGACTTTAGAAACTCGTGCCATCGATGTATGCTGCGTCTCGGAAACGCGCATACAGGATCCTAGTAAAGTCATTAACCTGATTCTACCTTGTCAAAATAAAGAAGCAGCTCGATTTACTCTTCGTGTATCCGGTAGCCCTGATGCTGCTTCCAGGGGTCTTGCTGGCGTAGGCATAGCATTGAGTCGTAGAGCTGAACAATCTCTCCTTGACTGGATCCCAGTAGATAGTCGCTTGTGCGCTATCCGACTAAACGGGACAGTAAAGACTCGGAAAGATAGGGACAATCGCCGTTGCCTCTTCATCGTATCTGCCTATGCCCCCAATGACTGCAGTTCAGACGAGGTTAAAGACGAGTTTTACAGAAAGCTTTCGGACCTCCTCCAAAAAGCTAGGCGCTCTGATACAGTATTAATGGCTGATGACTTTAATGCTGAAGTAGGTAGACTAAGTGAAAATGAAAGACACCTAGGTGGATGTTATGGTGTCGCGGCTCAGAGAACAGACAATGGCGACCGTCTGTTGCAACTGTGCTCAGATAACCGCCTATTCTTAGCGAACACCAACTTTAGGCATAAGGAAAAGCATCTGTTGACCTGGCGACCCCCGAAGTCATCCCAACGTTGGACTCAACTAGATCACATCGCCACCAGCCACCGATGGAGGGGTTCGATAGAAGACTGTCGCTCGTTCTGGGGCACATGTTTGGATTCAAATCATGCTCTAGTGCGAGCCCGTATCTGTTTAAGGCTTACTGGACGTAGGAAAGACACCGTAAGAAAGCCTCTTAGGGTTTTACTTAATGATAATCAAACCAAGAAAATATTTCAGGAGCAACTAGAAAGAGAGTTAAGCAACCATGCAAGCGATTCCCATCCAGAAGCAGGTTGGTATGATATCAAAAAGGCTGTGGAAACAGCATTGATATCTGCTAGTAAGGTAAACCATGAGGCTAGGATGAAGCCATGGATTTCAGTCGCATCCACCGAACTGATGGATGCTCGAAAACGCATCCCACCTGACTCTGAGCATGATGAAGAGCGTAGTCAGCTTAGGCGCAGACTTATAAAAAGTCTACGTAACGACCGTGAACAGTGGTGGGTGGCGAAAGCAAAAGCGATGGAAAAGGCAGCGGCGATAGGTAACACTAGACAACTTTCCCGCCTTATTAAAGAAACTGGTATTAAGAACCCGAATGTGAGTGAGACTATCTCGGAAAAGGATGGTCTTATTATCCATTCTCAATCCAGGAGACTGGATCGATGGGCAGAACACTTTAGGGATCAGTTCAACTGGCCACGAGCCACTCTTCGGTTACCCACGATCTACAGTTATCCTGAATGACAAATCGACCTAAGTCCCCCTAGTCTTAATGACGTTGAGAAAGCGTTAGGAAATCTGAAACGAGGACGAGCTGCAGGTCCTGATAGACTGACCCCTGAGATATTTAAGGATGGTGGTCCAGTTTTAGCATCTAGGTTGACTGAGATCTTAGGTAGAATCTGGGAACTGGACGCAATCCCATCCGACTGGTCTCAATCCTTGATTGTCCCAATCTATAAGAAAAGACAAAAGTCGTCTTGTGACAATCACAGGGGAATAAGTCTAACTAATATAGTATCTAAAATATTGGCCTCAGTAATACTTCGACGCTTAACGAAAGCTCGTGAAGAGCAGACTCGAGAAAACCAGGCTGGTTTTCGAGCTGGACGTGGTTGTATAGACCACGTCTTCACACTCAGACAGGTCCTGGAACATAGA